ACAAGTCTGAACCTTAAGAATGTATAAACAAAACTGTATGGAATTACATCTTAAATAGGAAACATTCAAGAAGATTCTTGATAATCTACTTATTTTTTCATGTGTGTATTTTATAACAAGATAAAATTATTATGTTATTGATACAAAACTAAGCACATACAATAGATAACCCAAAAAATGGTGAATAGTAAAACGAAATTCCCATATCTAATTCAATAACAAACTTGCACAGGTCCAAGTCATGTCGTAGCTCATTATATACGTTTTTATATACACCACTTTCTTTATTTTGATCGACCCAAACATGAATTAGCATCTTCTATCTAAGTAAGTATATCACCCAAACCGATAAACGTCACTTGAAACATTAACAGGATTACTTACACCTCAATTAAATTCACCACTACGTAAATCGCTTGCAAAATGTGATTAGAACTTAGTAATCATCTTCATTTGGACACTTCTATGTTTGACTAAGTATTTGGAACTCTGATCAAAAGCTATCTCGGAAAACCATATGATCCATCTAAGTCAGTCTGAAGCCTAGTCTCTCACGGATGATGCTCAGTCGAGGTTCACATTACCCCCGCTTCACCGCACCACTCCCAAGATGTTAATCGTCTCCTTTCAAACACGCGACGCAGACAAATTTAATTAAACACGCTTTTACACTCTGTACAACGTTCCATGATTAATTCTTAGGCTTGACGGTGAATAATTATTGTTAAAGTGTTGCTGTTAACCTTTGCCTACGATTAACGCTTGATTTTATAATCGTAAATTCAAATTATAGAGGCCTTAATTGCCCATAATTCGTAATATTATATTATAGTATTTATGTATATTATGTATATATAGTAATAAGTACTTGATGCAAAGTATTGCTGAAAACATACAACACTTTACTATTAGTTTTGTTACTTTGAAATCATATCTTATCTACGAAACTTCCTAAATACAGTCATTCAAGTCGAAACATAAATTGTACCTTTCAAATCCGTAAAACGTAAAAATGTTGAAGCTAAATTTCAAGGGCCATTTAGCAGAGCCGTGCTCTGGACAGAGATTAACGTACTCTCTGTTTCATTAATAAATTTTGGGCTTTATCAAAGGCCAGAAGTGATTTGCAGGCAATAACATAAATGACGTGAAGGTAGTAATGGCAAAAATCTGTCTTTTTTACGAGCTGTATTAAATAACCATCAGTAACGCAGGAAGCTAAAGTAAAAATCAGAGTACATTAAGAAGCAAATGAAAATAGAATCAATTCATTAAGTAGCAGAGTTTAATAATATTAAATAAACATAATTAATGAAATTATAAAGAAGAGTCCTAACAATGGTCAACTTTTTTAAATGTTTCTCCTATAACAGTTCTGATAACAAAGTTGCTTCTTTGGATATAAAACATAAAGTAGAAAATCGAAATATTTGTGTATATATCCGCGTGACTTCGAACGCGAAGCCAGAGAAATAAACAATTATAAGGGAACCCCTAATAGTCGTTCGAACTTCCAGCTGACTCCGATGTTTTGATTGCCTTAATTTATTATGGTCACTTGGCATTATTTTGATTGCATTTTAGTTGAAAACTTTCCAAAGTAAATTCAAAGCCATACCATAGGTTAATAAGACAAGTATGGTAATTCCATGCAAACGTAGCAGCGCGGCTTTTAGGCTCAACTCATACTGGCGCAGAGTCGAAGCGTCGAGCACGTCGCGTCCTGTTTTTTCATATACAACGCATGGCGACGCGCGTCGTCGCGTGACGACACTCGCATTAGCGCGTCCGGATCACAGTGTGGTCGGCGTCTGACGCCTCACTACACGCAAGGAACGCACGACACCGCTCGACTTTAACCAAGCGTCGACATTCCTTCAAGATTCCATACTTGCAAAACACAAATTTGTACCTTAATAATGGGAAAATAAAGATGAATATGCGATAGGCGAAAAACATGATGCGTCGCGACGCTTCGACTCTGCGCCAAGTGTGTTGAGCCTTATGTGTCGCACAAGTCACGTGCCGTGTACGAACGCACTCATTCGCATAATAATAGTACGAACGCACTCATTCGCACCGCCAGTGCATCGCGAAATTACTCTTTTTTTTACAATTTGAACTGAATTTAATTACACTACGCTGCTACGTTTGTATGGAATTACAATACTTGTCTTAGTATACTATGGCCATACGAAGTATAATATATCAGAGTATTAAAATAACACAACTTATTACTTGAAAAAAAAAATTATATTAATAATTATGTTTACATAGTTATAAATAGTCGTATATAGATATTTATTCAACTTAAAAGGCTGTAAAATAAGAATGTATTAAAGTTTGGAGCCACATTAGCAAAACTGAAATAAGTAAGTTTTATAAGTTTACGTGAGAAAGTTGACTTTCAGATAACTCAGACGCTATAACACTACGAAGCATAAAACGACTTTTATAGTTAAAGTTTCCCTATAAGCTAGAACTTATGAGGACTGCGCATGAAACGGCTATTACGCTTCGTAATAATAACATTATATGTGGGGTGAGTGTCCAGTGGTACTTATGTATGTATTGTGATATGTTATATACATGTTCAATGACGACTACAGTATTCAATAATTAGGAAAATTCTTCAACGGTACATAGGTGTATAGTATACACGAAGCACCATAAACTCAAAGTACACTCTGTGAGTTCTAAGTCAGATATGAAATAGTATACAATATAAGAAAACAAAAACATATAACACTGTTACCCTTACTTAGCCAAATCAATACATATGTACCAGCACATAATAAAGAGGAAAATAAAGAAAAGCGATCTCTTTGTTCAGCCAAACCGTTTGTCTTTTGAGTTTTACGGACTAGGGTACCCTTGATCATTAACAACGCTTATTAGTTGGCAGTTTTCTTTTGAGAAAGCCTTTCTTATTTCAGCATGTTTTCATGCATGATAGTAGTACATTGACCAAGGCGCCAAGTTCTTAAAACATCAATATACACAACTTTTATGTGAAAATCACTTATAAGCGTTTCTCATGGAAAAATATGTTCTCTCATTACACATACGACTATACATTTACCGAATTAATTCTTCGATAAATAACCTGTCTCTATTTTCTATTAAATAAGCTAATACAAAACAAAAAATGTACAAATACAAGAATGTATGTCATAGATGAATGTATGTCATACTAGAGAAATCCTGTAATGCGGGTGCCATAGACACACACATAGATAACCACAAATCACATCAACATAAGTTTAGGCATTACAAATATTTCTGCGGATCTAAGTCGCTTGTATTTGTGTAACTATGCTACCTATAAAGAACCCGATACGTCTGTTACTGTTGAATGTGTTAATTACGCTAACCTAGCGCAATTATCCGGATATCAACCAGCTCTGCAGTCAACAAACTGTAATATCAAAGTGACTTTGATCGCTTTCAGTCATTTTCGGAAACTACCTAGTCGCCGGCCGCCACCCCGGAGGGTACAACCTATCCGACTCTTGGGTAAATGGATTTTCAATCGTGCTGACCCTGTTTTAGTAAACCCTCAATTAACAGGCACTCTGGACTTTAATGAACTTCTACGTAACTATAAAATTGTAATTTATGATGTTAATGTAGATGAGCCGTATATAACACTGAGACGTTAGGACATTGTTCGTTTCATAATTGCTAACCTAAGCTTGGAGTTCAAATTTTATACTGTACAACAATATATATATATATATATATATATATATTTGAAACGATTCAATTCGCATCTGTTCCCGCGCCATTATGAGGAAATTCACGCGAGCGATAAAGAAACTATTGAGCCCATTCCCTAGCAGCAACTTCATCAAATTCGCACAATGAGAAAAAACTTGGCACAAAAATACCTCGAACAAATCGTATATCATGAAAGGCGGAGAAATGAAATCATCGGAAGACACTATTCATCAAACTATCCGTGTCGGATACTCACGGAAGTATTTCGGAAATAATCAAATTCATGTTCTTTTCATAAATTGTATTAAGCTATTTATTGTCTCCCTACTAATACCCAACGTAAACAATGGAGGTCAACAAAATATAACAGATGCTTGTATATTGCACAGAGACTGTTCTTCAAAAGCTACCGTCATCGAAATTCATATAGCTTTATTTATTTGTTAATATAATTTTCATATACATATATTTTGTAAAAATACTGGTGAAATTACAGGCACATAATGGGTCTTGTCAACTTATATCTAAGGTGACGGGATCTTTGCGATTCAAAGGTCTTAAGTAGAACTGCAACAATTATAGCCAAGCGTGTCGCTTATACCACGAAGTGCACGACCAGTTGGTCCCGTCGTTTGGTATCATAAAAAACTTCATTAGTTTGTTATTATTTTTGACACAAAGGTCATAGATTCATATACCTTTGTTCACATAACTTAATTACACAATACCATATTCGGAGATCTATTTAGCGCATCGAGTATCGATGATTTAGCGATTCTATGAAACGTTACCGTCGGTAGGGGGTACTAAGTCGCAATGTCATTATTTAGTTCCCTTCATGACTTGCAACTGGAGCCCTTACGAAGAAATCACAGGGCTTTACTAAGTCATTGTACCGAAATAAACTATAACATAAACGCTTTCATCTATTTAGGCTATTGATAACATTTTTATTCATATTTTTGGATTTTACCCCTTTATTTTTACGATTTGTACTGTACGTGGTACAATATTTAAAATTAATGACACAATTGTACCTTTGGCAATAAGGCACTTGAGCAAGGCAAGGCAGTGGGGTTTACAGAATTTTAACAAAGTACAAACCGATTCATTGCGATTATATAGTATCGTCCTTTAGGTACTTACTAACCTACTTAAGTATATGTAGTATACCTACTCGTTCTTTTTTAAATTAAATAAGTTTTCTAAAATTTCTATCAATATAAATGCTTATCTTACGGCATTAATATCAAAGCTCTCCTGTAATAAATTCGAGCACTAAACGCCTTCAGATTACCGCAGCGTAATGGACAAACTTAATATTCACGAAGGGACAATCCACTTCGCATCTGCGAGCCCATCGCTCACATTTCATCTGTCTAGGGGTAAAATTGTTTATTGAAATTTAGGGCAATCCAAATAGGTTATAAATTCACAAATGGAATTCTACGCTTTAAGTGTGTGAGATTAAGAGATAGATTAAAATGGAAATAAGTACCATCTACGGTGTCTACCCAGTCATCGTAGGTTCATTGAATAGGCACGTTACTGCCTGCAAGTTTAAATTTTCTCACTTGACTCCAACCAATATGTAGCCACAGCGGTGCCACCGCTCTTAACTCACTAGCTTATTTTCACAAAAAATATATGAAAAGCATGGTACTAAAATAAATATTGTAAGTTATATTATTATTCTTGTAACAAAATGTTGAGGGCCATATCCACCGATATGACTGGCCCAATAATTACTAATAGTACTGGCATTTCATCTTGATGCAAAAATCGAAATAGAGTCAGACCTTTTATTTTATTTTAGTTGTTATTACTTTGTTTTAAGGTATGTTCTTAACGCACACACACACGCACACACACACACACACACACACACACACACACACACACACA